CAGTTTCAATTATTAATTTACTGCTACTACTTATTATTAAAATCAAATATAGATTTATCGCAACTTCTTTTTAATTTGAAAACTCTGCCATTCTCCCCCTTTTGCTCTTACTGGAAACCTTAGCAGGTATAGAGGGTAGGAAATCGTGATGAGAGCTCGTTGGTGAAGGCATCGAGAGGACTAGCTGAACTGCATATCAACGTATGTCGTCCACCATTTGCTGCATTCAAACTTCAAATTTCACGCCAAAATTTGGTATGTGAACAGTGCAACGCCAATATTGGCATCAGACTGTTCACCTACGCCAAAAAATGCTCACTTACGAATTTGCCGAAGAAGAGCGAGAAAGAGGAGAGAGATAGTTACCTTCGCATGAGGCACATGAAAATGGAGAGAAATGAAGTTCGATTGAAGATGAATTACACCATTTTTTGAAATTTTATAACATTTTAAAGTGTAAAATGAGTTTTTTTTTTTTCGGTTGAAGATGCCCTAATCCAAATAAATCCCCTCAAACAGCACTCCAGGGTTCTCACTAGCAGAACAATTCCTGAGACGCCATTCTCAGTCCAGATGTCTATATAATTCTTCCTGATAGATAGGACAATTATGAAATTTTCTCTTTATAGTACTCCTGGTTGATGCCTCTTGTCAGTGAAATAGAACATTTTTACCTCTTTTAAGTGCCCTTACTTTAGGAGTAAACGTTTCCACAGAATCTCACTTTCTATTCGTGATATTTAAAAAATATGTATAATTTTGCACTATAACAACTGGTCATAAACAGGGAAAATTATTACGTCCGGACAAAAATTAAAAATTCAGACATATACCGAGCAATAACAGTGCTCAGTACCGAGCTCCAGGTGACGAAGCTCGTGATTATTGATCTCTGAACACGTTCGATATCCGGACACAATAATTACTCCCTAAACAGGGATGCTGTGGCAGAACCACATTTCAGAAGAGATGCAATAATTGATGGAGTGTATCACAAAAAAGAGTTTTTGAACGAATGGTTCATCTTTGTGATGGCCATTAGAGATGCTGACAAATCGCGCCAACAATGCATATTGAGACCTTCGACATTAAGCTGGTGATTATTTTTGTTTAATATAAAGCCTTTATTTGATATTTCAATGCTATATAAGATAAAAATTCTCAAAAAAGATTGGATAAACTGCATTGCAAGTACGTTGAACATAATCATTTAAGTGAGAGAGATGCACAAATAATACAGCACTTCTTTTGCATATTACGCCACACATTAAGACTGCAATTTTCTTTTCTTCAAATAAAACAATTGAAAAGCATTCCAGATTTTAGCCTGAAGACAATATTCATGCCTTCAAACATATTGTAGGCATGCCATCATTTAGGTAGGATTTCATAAATCCTCTAAATCCCGATTTCGAAAATCCTGAGGGGCCTAAATCCTGATAACAAGCGGACTCTTCCTCTTGAGACAATGTATTTCTTAAATACAGCAAAAAATAAGATTTTGTAAATCCGGAATTTAGCACGAAAAGAGGAAATTTTCCGTCTACGACAACTTTCATTTGCCGTGAGAGTTGGTTTTGCATTTTAAGCCTTTTGGTTGAATTTCGCTCGAATCCGGCCTAAATCCTGCTACAAACAGCCCCTAAAAGTGGGCAAATTATTGTCCAGTGTCCGGATTCGTCCAGACACCAATAAAAACGCGCCACGTCACTAAAAAATATCAGGGCTCAGTGCGCCCGGGTGAGGTGGCGTGTCCGGATTGAATGTCAGCATGTCAGGTGACCGGACGCAATAATTTGCCCTAAAAGTGGCCCACCTTACACCGTCGAGGGATAGTAAGAGTGAGGAAATCAACACCAGATCAAAAGGTTGATGAATCATATCAAACAATTTAATCATAAAAAAAAACCATATTATCTTTAAAAGAATGGCATAACTAAATTAATATTACAGGTAACCCAGATAGTTTGCAGGGGCATATTTACAGAAAGAAATTTAAAGGAAAGCACTTAAACAGTCAGTAAGGAAATATGGCCTTAATAAACAGGAGCAACAATGCAGAAAAGTGAACTAGAATTTGGTTCATTATATTACAAATTTACAGAGTTTGCTTCTGGCTGCTTGCCGTTGGTGCTTACAGAAACATTAAAAGATGAAACACATCAACACACTTGCCCGTTCTTACAAAGAGGCCTCCTCTTCAGAGTAATTTAAATATTGCACGGCATGAAGTAGAGAAGACCACTGATGCCGCCCTAAGCAATGCTGGATTTTGATATATTCTATCGGAAAAAGAGAAATAGAAAAACGAAAAAAAAAATAAAAAAGAAAAATATATAATTGAGCTTTAAACAATTTAAAGGACATAGAATAATCATAAGCTATTAAAGCATATCAAATACACAACTTTTGGATTCAGAATGGAATAAAGCCCTTTTTGGGATGGCTTTCTTACTGCTTCTTAAATCAATTTTTTAGAAGAAAAAAATTTAATTTTTTACTAGAAAACTGCTTTAAGAAACAGTACGAAAGCCATCCCAAACGAAGCCTAAGTTTTGATGTTTCACAAAACGGTGAATAATGTCGGATAGATTGTAAAGCATTCAAGACCACCATGCAAGCTCTTTTTTGCTGAGCCATTGAGTAATAAATAAAAAATAAATGTTCAACTATGCGGCCACAACACTCAAATAAATTAACCTAGGGGTAAAACAGGAAATAACATAAAATAGAAACTAAAATGCAGAAAATAATTCATAAATGACAACTTAAATCAGAGCCGTCGATTTACGACGCCTCCTGTGATAGATGCGCCAGATTTTCGTGCCGATGTCCGCATCAGATGCATTATAACATAAAAGTTTTCTTAGGAATAGTTTATCCCTTTATTATATTTTCTACATATTTTCTTGAACTTCTAGAAAGTTCTATAGATATGTTATTGATATATCATCAAAAATTATCTTGATCGGACACAAATCTCGAGGCAAAATCAAGCAGGAAACGTCAAAAATTAAATTCGGGATCATATGAACTCCGATTGCAGTGAACTTATAGTCAAATTGAGCGTCTCGGAAATACGAACTCAACGACACCAAAATCGACTCAATCCGAGCCCAAATGAGTCCAAATTCAAGCACCCGAAGTGCTATTGGAAAGTTCAAACCACAAGTTGAGTTACCAAACGGTTTTCAAATATGACGTTCTTATAGTCGAATCGAATGGCTCGACGAGACGAATCCAATGAGCCCAAGATCGCCGAATTCCGACATCATTAAGACCTCCAAATGTCTGACGAACGGTACACGATCAAGTGATTCTATATAGGCCGTCCATCCGAATCACTCCACATTTGCCCTTGATCCTCCTATTTATGGGTCATGTCATCCTAAAAAAACTATAAATAGCCCCTCATTTCTCTTGAGAGGAGACTCAAGCAAGAAGAAGAAAAGGATAGGAGGGAAGAGACTCCTCCTCGACCACCGCCGGAGTTCTGTCCGACGCCCAAGTGACGCCGGAGTTCTATCAGATGCCCAAGTGATGCCGGAGTTCTGTCAGACAACCAAGTGATACCGAAATTCTACCCGAAACCGGAATTCTGCCCAAGTGAAGCCAGAATCCTGCTCGACGCCCAAGTGACATCGGAATTCTACCCGACGCCGAAATTCTGCCCAAGCGACATCGGAATTCCAAGTAACGCCGGAACTTTGCCCGGCCTTGTAACTGGATTTCAATACAAAAGTGATTCATTGTAATCTGATCGTCCTAACTTTTACGGACGAGTCAGTCTCTTATATCTCAAGCAAACACTAGTGAAACTTTTTCAACTAGTCATGGTCCCGTGGTTTTTTCCCTTTTAAGGATTTTCCACATAAAAATGATGGTGCTCTTTCATTTCCTGTTTGTGCTGAATATCCGTACAACGCTATGACAAATATTTTCTAACTCTATCGCCGTGTATATTCTAGCCCGTAACAGTTATGTATATAATAGTTGAATGAAGATGATATAAGAATGAATATTTTTGGAATTTAACAGTAATTACTGTTCTTGGTGTTCTTGCTCTTAAGAGTTGTTAATTGTGATGATTCTTCACTGATCTCCTCACATATGTTCTCCTTTTTTCATCATGACCTTTTCCTATGGAATATGGTATTAGAGCTCTTACAATAACAAAAAAAGGAATTGAGCTTCATATTTTACATTCACAAATATAGGAACCAATAACTCATAGAATTCAACAACCATTGTCAAACGACCTTTTTATGGAAATTTAATTAATATCCCAGATATTATGATGAAACATTCCTTATTATCGATAGCACAAGTTCCTTAAACTTTATGAAAAGCTTGTGTGCCTTTTATTATTATTATTTTGTTGGGACAAACACTTCTTAATTAACGTTTTCCTCAATCTTGCTGTAAACTTTATTTTTTAAATTCCTTATGCCTGATGTTGATAAACTATCATAAAGTTACATAATTTTTAGCCCTAAATTTTTTTTAACTGGTGATCAAAGACTAATTATGTATCATACTTTAAAACTACGAGAGAGAGTAATGAAGCATAGGTTACGACATGATACTACTATTTCTCAAAATTAATTTGGATTCATACCGGATAGGTATTCTATGGAAGTTATATATTTATTAAGAGGTTTTGTGGAGAAGCAACGAGAGAAAAAGAAGAATCTTCATATGATATTTATTGATTTAGAAAAAGCATATGATAAAGTTCAAAGAGAAGTGCTATGGAGAGTTCTAGAAAAGAAAGGGGTTAATAATGATTATATTCAAGTCATTAAGGAGATATGTATATAAGAGTTGTTAATTGTGTTCAAACATAAGGTGGGTGGACAAAGTATTTTTTTATTTCAGTTGGATTACATCAAGGATCAACCTTAAGCCCATGTCTTTTTGCTATAGTCATGGATGTTCTCACTAAACATTTGCAAGAGGTTGTACCATGGTGTATGTTTTTTTGTTGATGATATTCTTCTTGTTGAATAGACTAGAGGGGGAGTTGAAGGTAAACTTGAATTATAGAGGTCAACCTTAGAGTCTAAAGGTTTTCATTTGAGTAAATCTAAAACTAAATATATGGGTTATAATTTTAGTAGTAATAGATCTGATAGGAGGATTGTGATTTTGGGCGATCAAGTCATTAATAAGAGAGCACATTTTAGATATATTGGGTATATTGTTTAGAGTGATGGTGAAATAGATGGGGATACTATAGTAGAATTCAAGTTGGATGGTTGATGTGAAGGAATGGAATGGATCAGACTTGTGTGTTAAAAAAGTCCCCTCAAACTTAAGGGAAAATTCTATAAGATAATGGTGAGACCTTCAATGCTTTATGGTGTAGAAGGTTGGCCATTAAAAGAGATACATAATATTAAGTTAAAGTGTTGCAGAGATGAGGATGCTCAAGTGGATGAGCGGCTTTAATCATAGAGATAGGATACGAAACGAGCATATACCCGAAAAGATTGGAGTAGCTCTAGTGGTAGATAAGATTAGAGAGAGTCGCCTTAGATAATTTGGTCACATAAAACGACAGCATTCCAACGACATGGTTAGGAGAGTAGATATATTAAATTTGGCTTATGATAAAAAAGGTAGAGTTAGACCTACAAAGACTTGGTTAAAAAAAATTAGAAATGACATTTCTTTATTAAATTTAAAATGGGAATTTAACACTTAACAAGATACAATGAAGAAAAAAAATTCATGTTGCCAACCCCACGTAGTGGGATAAAGGCTTGATGATGATGTTGTTATTGTTGTATCAAAGACTAACAAATGATTTGCATTTTAAAGGCTCGAAAGAAAGTTCAAACATTCTATTCAAGTGGACATAGCCTAACTCCACTATTTCCACAACTATGGAATGGAAATTAAGAAGAACAAAACAAAACCTTTATCCCACTATGTGGGAAAGTCAAAAGAACAATGAAAGCAAAATATTAGACAAATATAAGTACATGAAGAAAACGTTCATAGAAATGTAAACATTACAACAATGTTTAAAATTGAGAAATTGGGTATTGAGACGTTTTTTTATCATGAGGCGAGACGTAAGCCTAAAAAAAATTAAGTTAAAATAAATGTTAAATGTGATTTTTTATATAATACCCAAATAATATGTTAAAGGATGGTCTATTAATTTTCTATTAAATTATGAAGTAACAAATTGACATACAAGTAAATAAAAAATTGTCTAAGACGTAAAGTGACAAGTGATAAATTACGTGAAATGAAATTGAAATCCAAATATTACAAGAACAAAATAATATTAAATATAGGAATATATAAAAAACATCATATAATATCAAGTTTAACTCCAAATTTCTTCCTTTTATGTTCTCTACTCATCCACACATTTAATTCCTAAAGAGATCTGAAATAGTTGACAAAAACTTAAAAATCATCTATACTGTCATCACTAAGGGGGGTTTTTATTTAAGTCGTCATTATAACAAATTCAACTCTCCACTGCCTCATCCTATGGAGTTCAATGCCTCCCAATTTATTTCTTCTTCATTTACTTATGTCATCTTCTCTTTCATAAATATTTTTCATTACATAAATATAAGATTAATACTTTAAAAATTTTAGAGAAGGTAGTGTGGTGGTGTGTGGGTTTCAAGTGATCCCCGGCAGCTGCTATGACGGTGGTGACTGAGGGCTGGAGGTCAAGGCAACTCAAAGGAAGTTGTTGTAGCTTGGTGGTGCATTAAAGCGTGATTTGTTTAGGGCTTTAGTTTAGGATTTATATAAGTTTTAATAAAAATATATATAAATAGGGCGATGAGAAAGCAACATGCCAGTGAGTCGTGGCATGCCTCATAAAAAAAAAGTTTGAGTTGTAAGCCTCAATGCGTTTTTCACTGGAATTGTGCTGAGAAGGGACTCAAGACAAGCCTCATTTTGCGCAATTTTAAACAATGCATTATAGTATCTAGACTTCAGAATATATATAAGCTCCAACACTAAGCATCATCATCATCATTAACCTTATCCCACTACCTGAGTTTGGGACTAAGAATCCCCCTCTTTTCTTCATTGTTGTTAAATGCTACATGAGATGTCAATTTTGTTATGCGTATATTTGCATGGCCTATAATCATATTAGCATTGATCTATGATTTTTATCTTTATAATTCTTGCATATTAATTCCGTTTATTCACATTATTTTGTACATAGAAACACCATCATAAAACGGATTTAGAAAGGAGGGCAGATATTATTTACCCAATAGCTGTGGCACTCCAAGATGCCACGTTATAAATAACTTTGCTACCATCCCAAGCCTTTTGAAGTCTGGTCTTTTTCCTTTTCCCAGAGAATGTTTTGCAAAGAGCTGGTAAACAAAGATGGGAAATCCTGGGATCAGACATTGCCATATCTAAGCATGAAAAGCCAGGAATAAAGATGAAGTAAACTCACCTTCTTGAAGTTGGTTTGGAGTCAACTCCTGTAAAATAATAATATAACCATAAGTCACCATAGCATCACACCGTCTAATGAGTCTATACCTTACAATGAGTCTATATATATATATATATATATATGAACAAATAAAATTCCACGAAAGCATTTAGAAAATGTCTCAAATTCAGCCAATATGTATTTAGTATTTACAATATTTAGCACCTTATAAAGAAATATACTTTGCTAGAACAAGCATGGTTAAGATCACTGTGATAACGTCCATGAGCTTTTTCCACTTTATTGACCTTGCAACAGTAGCAATCCAGATCACTCCCTCCACATTCAGCTCATTTACTAATTACTAGGAACTCAATAAGGCATATATTCAATAGCAATGAATTCAAATATCCTGTCCAACATCATAATCGGACCAACCATGCTTTAGCAAGGAAACATAGAATTTTTTTCCAACACAAGGACCCACAAAACATATCGGGTTGTAAAGAAGCATTCTTTGTAGCCTTGTATCATTTTTAATGGCTTTACTTTTTTTATGATCTTATTTTAACATCTTACTTTGAAGTTAGTGTGTTACTTATTACTTCATATTTTTTTATTATTTTAAAGGTTTAATTTTGAGGCTTATGTCTCAAAATTTCTCAAGGCTTTCACGTCAACATACAAAACAAAAACGTCTTAATACCCAATTGCATAATTTCAAATCTTGGATAAGACCAATATAGTTTTATCACAAATAGTGTTGCTCATCAACATAGTGTATTTAAATTCAACTTCCATGAAGATAAAAGCATCTCTTCCACTAGTTCTAGAAAAATTTTTATTTATTCAATATTCTCTCTTCTCATAATTGATATTTTCTTGTTTTCAACAACTAAAAATTGCTATTAGTAAATGTATCATTATATTTGTTGAAATTATAACCTAATATGGTTTGAGTTTGATTAATCAAATGACTATTGCATGCTCTAATTAGTAAAACTGTCATTTTGCTCTGCACTTTATACATAGAAGAAACGAGATACCATTCCGAAATACATTGCAATTAGCACTTTAAAAACATTGACCTGTTGTTGAATGCATGAGCAAGAAAAGGATGAAGCTACTAGCATCAAAAAACAAATTGCCTAGCTTAAAGTTTGTGTATGTTGGCTCCAGTGAAAATCGTGTTTTCAAGAAGCTACTGGAAGGATTCCTAACAAAGATAAGCTTAAGCTTTTGTATGCAGATATACCTTATTTCATCTCTTGGAGGTTTGCTGTATTATGCCAACATTCATTGATGCTTCAACTTGAAAGATATAATTTTATTTCCTAACAAATAAATTCGATATGTTCATTAATTCAAAAAAAAAAAAAAAACTAGAGAATGTATATGGTAACAAGTTCAAGTGCTTGAGGTCTGAGAATGAAGGTGATAATACAACAAAAAATCTAAGGTTTTATATACAACAAATGGAATTAGAAGGTAGAGAACTATCCCATAAGCATCACAATAGAATGGTGATGCAGAGCATACGAAAATGTCTCAAAATGAATGTATAAGAGCATAAGATTACATGTTGAATTTTCTTGAATTTTTTTGCAGGCAAACAACCTACCTGATCTACTGGGACCATTTGTTCCTTTAGATGGTAAGCTTCCAAAAGAAGCTTTGACTAGTAAAGAGGTAAATCTCTTAAACCTAGAAGTGCTTAATTCATATATGCACTTAGACACTAATAGCAAAGATAAATCGGATCCAAGTCTTGGAAGTGTTCACAAATTAGCTATAGCAGTGATGATTTGGTAACCGCTTTTAGGATCAGAAAATAGAAATATCATTAGAAGTAAAAACATTATATTTAATGAAAATGTTATTTATAAAGAAAGAGATGTCATAGAACCTAACAATGCATAAGAGGATGTTCATAAGAATGAGTATACTGAGCTAGAAGAGACTACTGAAGGAAAAAATGCAATCAACTGTGAAAAGAAGATACAAGTGGAATCAAAACCAACTACAGTTGTGTTTAAGATTATAAGATCCAATTGAATATCTAAAGCTACTGAGCAATATTCTTCAACATTGTATATTTTATCGTTGATTGATGGTGATGAGCCAGAGTGCTTCGATGAAATAATGCACAGTGATAATTATATCAAGCGGTATAAAAGCAGAAGATATGACTAGGATTGAGTGATTCATGCAGCATGTGTCTCACATAAGTCTCGGGACCTTCGCCCCTAGTTATATGAGGTTCAATAGCGAATAACTCTTACAATAGTACAATGTAGTTACATGACTCTTTTTTTTATTATTATTCTGGTTTTTTAATTTTTTTTAGTTACATGGACTCTTGTGCATGATACTTGATGATGTTGAAAAATAATTATGTTTGAGAGGAAGATATGGTTGATGCAGGGAACTCTCACATAAGAGAAAATGATGTGGACATCCGACGGTGAACGATATTCAAAGGAAGAGTTGAAGATCGACGGCCGAGATCACACCGTTTTATTTTAGTTTATTAATTGTATTTTGATTTAATTTTACAATTTTCCTTTTTTTACCCTTTTTTAAGAGTATTGTCTTATGTAAGACTAAGGGTCAAATTTGTCTTTTAGTTTCTTTTGAGGCCTATATATAGAAGCCCCTTCTCTTGTATTAGGTATGAAGAAATTATAATAAAAATTTGTGTTATGCCCTTGTGTTCTTTTGGGAGGACATTAGTAAAATTCCTATGAGAAGAAATCGGAGTTTTCACCAGCTGCAGGATGGGTCTGAGCCTGTGGCTTGAAGTCTCTTGGAGAAGGGCAACATATCACCCGTCAGTCTTCAGAAGAGTCCAAGGCTCGCAGTTTTGTCTTCTTTTTTCTTATTATTATTCTCCTTATTTTCCTAACCACCACTTCCCCATCTCTCTTTCTCCTATTGGCAGAAAACTCCACCCAAACCCTAAGGCCAAAAGACACCCAACCGCCGGCCCAATCCCCTTCCCAAAGCCGCCGGCCATTATCCATCCCTTGGCTCCAAGATTCAAAATCTAGCAATCAAATCCTTTCCTAAATTAGCTCCCTTTAATCCCTTAGTTATTTCACTATAAACACTAGATCACATCTCCAAATCCTAAATTAATCCTCCATAATTATTTTTAGCTAACATTCTATTTTAAAGACTCCCATCAACATGAAATTTGGTATCAGAGAGACTGTTATCACCCTACTCTATTTTCATATAGACATATGCTATATCATTGAAAAAAAAAACTCACTCTATTTTCATAATATTGCACCCGAAGAGCATGCTGATGAATTGCTTCCTCTTATAGACATTCAACATACCATTAACTTCATAACCAACTCCAAACTTCTCAATCTTCATCACTATAGGATGAACCCCACTAAGCATGTTCAGATAAAAAGATAAGTTGAAAAATTATTGAAAAAGAATTTTGTTGAGGGTAGTCATAAACCGTGTGCAGTATTAGCTTTTTTAACACCTAAAAAAGATGGAGAGTGAAGAATATATGTTGATAGTTGAGCAATAAATAAAATCATTGTCAAATATAGGTTTCCTATTCTCCAATTAGATGATATGTTGGATTTAATCATAAGGGTAGTTTTTTTAAATTGATCTGAAAAGCAATTATCACTAGATTTGAATTCGATTTGGAGATAAATAGAAAAGTAGAAAACTGTTTTTTGGACCTCTAATGAACTTATGAATGACCTATCTTGCCCTCTAAATTTTTAAAAGGTCCTAGCATATTCATGAGATTCATGAATATTGTACTTAAACTCTGCATAGACTAGTTTTTGTGGTGGATTTTGATGATATTTTGATTTCTAGCTTTAGTGAAAATGAACATCTACAACACGTCCAGCGAGTCTTTAAACTTAAGCAAGAAAAAACTATATATTAATTTAAGAATAATTTCTTTCTATAAATTTAGGTATTTTTTTTACAATTTATCATGTGTTGTACTGAATTCAAACCCAACCCTTCCAAAATTACACAATTGACACAACATGGGCAAGAAAGGAAGAAAGATCATCACATTCACTTCGAAATGAAAGTTACGAAACTATCAAAACTCTACTTCTCATGAAACAGTCGAAGCCTACACGGGCTTGAAAGGGAAGATGGACTGTTACCTCGCTACTAAAAACTCGTCCTGACACGAAGCGAAGTTGAAGCAGGCGAGGCCGAAGTAGTGTACATGAAGAAAAACGAGAGAGCACTACCTTTGTTGCGAGCTATAGAAGGGGGCAAAGATTGGAACAAATGTTTCGAAATCAATGAAACCCTAAATCTAATAAGTGCACTCGACTCTGCTGAACTAAAAAAATAATTGAATAGAGGCAGCATCTCAAACTGCCTCGAGGCTTACACCTCAGTGACGAACATCGTAAGCCTCGTCCAAACATACAAGGCTTAAGCCTCGAGGCGTATGCCTCAAACGCTTTTTTAAACCATGTCAAGAAGTTTAACTTTTTATTTTGGATAACAAATATGGGCTGACCATTTAATTAATATTAAAATATAAAAATAATATAATGAGGGGATTGGCACGATTCTCCATTAATGATTGCCCACCTCATTTTAGCCTCTAAACTTTCCATTTCTTTTTTGAATGAAGACAACTTAAGAGCCAATGTAATATCGATAAATAGGATTGATAAATAATGGAATTTTTAGGTTTAGAATGATAAAAATTATTGGATAAAGTTATTCTCTCTTGATTAGTGCTCAATAGCCTACCATGACCAATATTAATGGAATTAATTAGTTATCTTTAATGCCTATTACTACTCTTCTTAAATCTTGTTCTAAATCTCTCTAACAACTTCCTCTACCCTAGGCACCTCCTAAGACTAGCATTCACAACTCAAATCATCAAAATCAACACAATTCTCACTCAGAAGCTTTCAACCTAGATTAAGCTACCTCGCACCTAGTCTTGTTCTCCATCCCTTCATAAGCCTTTAAACATTATTAAACTCCACCAAAAGCTATAAATCATAGCTTTATATCCTAAACTAACCCTCCACATTCATTTACCTCAATTTAACCTTCATTAAGCCCATCCCTTAAGGAGTTAAACCAAATCAGCTCAAACTAGTCTAAATCAAGCTTAATCTTGATTTTCATTACATCATACATCTTAAAACCCCTAATCATTTTACTATAAATTCCAAATCACATCTCCACATCCTAAATTAATTATTCATAATTATTTCCAACTACCAATCTAAGCCTCCCACCACCATCAATAGATGTCTAGGATTTCCTAATGCCAATCTATAATGATATGCTATAAGTCATGCATACATCCGTTGCATATTTTACAAATTCTTAATTTTTATAACAACCGATTCTTAATAAAAATTAAAAATATGAAGAAGATTGCTATAAATGATAATTTCTTGGGTATCTGCAAAAAATAACATGAAAATTATACATTTGATTGAAAGCCACATTGCAGACAAAAATTAGATTTTACAATATTTCATAAAATTTATTCACGTGAAAAGCAATAATAGGAATTAGATAATATAAATAAAAATGATGAGATGTCACCAAAAAGTACTAAAATTTTCGAGAGCCAGCTTAGACTTTGGTATAAAAGAACACGCATTTTGAAAACTATTGCGGAGATTCATTCAGACTAAGGCCTTACAAAAATCAATTGTATTAGGATCATTAGACTCCAATATTATGACCCCATGAAATGAGATAAAGATTTGATGTCATTGTTGTTGTTGTCATCATCTCCAACATTGAGCCAAGGCTCAAAAATCAACATATAGCCAGTTAAGGATTCTACCTAGACACAATAAACTTTGCTTAGTTAAGACTTTTAAACCTCAACTCCATAAGTGCAAGGCCTCAAAAACAGAGTCCTGGCAAACCTAAGGTCCTAGCTTTCAATCAAGAATCCACAACCTATGCTATCAAATTTTCTTGAGTCAGCCAAAGCCCACACTGTGAATAATAACACCATCAACCTTCCCTTCTTTGGGAAGCACTTTGGATGAGGTAAATTATGGTTACTAACGAGAAATTCTTCATGCCACAGATGAGGTTCTATGATAACCAAAGAATCATAACCTTATATACCTTAAACAATAGAACCAAAGGATCTTGACAAAGTTAATTACTATTTCACCAAATTTGTTCCTCAAATCTTCCTCAAATCTTGCATAGCCAGCAAGCACCCGATATATTGAGCGGAGCGACCTCATTAAACAAGAATGCTCTCAACCCTAAATCTAAATAAACCCTAACACGATTTAGCAAAAATCTAGTTAATCGCAAACTCAATCCACCTCAAGAGAAAGATTATTCTCGAGTTCTAATGGGCTCTATGTTCATTTGCTATTTCTTAAGTGATAATAATTTAATGATGGTCAGCACAAATTTTTTTCAGGGAACTAGACAAAAACTTAGCTCACACTTTTCACTATATTCAATGATAACGGTGTATAAAGTAACTTTGAATGGAATCATCACAGCAACAGAGACACCAAACAGAACTAATATAACAATTCAGTGAATACTCATGTGCAGCACCTTGCTTTGCTACTGAGATGCAATGTACAAAAAAGGACTAAAAAGTGCCTAGATTTCGACTAGGGATTAGAGTGACTTACTTTAGAATCTTTCAATGATAGAAGGTAAGCAGCCATGAAGCAAGCAATTCCATCCACTATCTCCTCTTGTCTAACTAGAACATAACTATCTTCATCTGATTCATTGTCAACAACAATCTGTTTATCATCCCATAGATCTTTTGGAGTAACCATATCCCATGATGCACTATCATCTGCAGAAATTTAACAAACTCAGGATTCCAACTCATGACAACAGAATTTCTTGCTTAATCCTGTTTTAATTGGTTAATCAAATGTTTATTACAAACACTATGTACCACAAACATCGGGACAAACAGACATATGGATGCTCCCAAGCTTTTCAAGAAAGGCCGGTGATTCAACCCTGGACTTGACAAGATTGCATAGCTGCATACAAAAATGAACCAAAGGATCAATTGACGTTTTCTTCTGAAATGAAATTTGGCACTGAGATAATTGATATTATTGATAATCATTTTTTCACACAGTTGTCATTTTACAACCATCCTATGCCTGTAAAGAAAAAGTTGAACTACTACTGGAAGAGTCCTTTTGAAGCGCACAATTTTTTCCAATTACATAGACCTAAAAGTTCATTAAATTCATTTAGAGTTAAAATATTGATATGTTCTTAATTAGATGAGAAACATGAATTTATGTATTTATTCCAATTTTTACACTTTTATAGTATACAATTTCCCCTCAAAAAGTACATAATTATTAACTATTTGATGATAACTTGAGGATGATTAACTAATCCATATCTCAAATGGAACTTAAGAAACACTTTGCGTGTTCACCAAGGCGATCTCCTGAAAATAATAATTTCCTGTCTTAATCCACAACAGGATGCATATTTCATAATTCTTGATAATATTTTAGGCATGTATCAAACATGAAAAAATAAGTTATATATATTATCAAATTTTTTATGAGAAACTTTTTGCTCATGATTTCAATCAAATTTGATAAAAAAGACATCTCTTGGTGAAGGGCGTTACCCTAGGCATTCATTTATAACAACTGATAAGTTATCATTAAGTTTTTACCTTAAATCAAGATCAAAGGTTTAGATCTTAATCTGAATACAAAATTAGGGCTGCAAGCAAACCAAGCGTTCGACGAGCTACTCGTTGCTCTGTTCGATTAAAGCTTGTTTGTGATCATTTAATTAATTAAACAAACAAACTTGAACAATATTTTAAATACTCGATTCTTAAATAAACAAACTTGAACACTAATGTGTTTGGCTCATTTATGTCCACGAACAACACCATTTGAAGCTCGTGAACAAGCTCGACATTAAGCTCAATAAGAAGCTCGATAAAAACTCGATTCGTGTTTGATTTTGAACTTGTGAATAAGCTAGATAAAAGTAATTAACATTTAGTTATATAATATGCAACATGTAAGCTTCATTTAAAAATATATTCATATTGATTAATATTATTTTCATTTTACATAGATAATTGCTTTTATTATAAATGTGTTTGCCTGTACAAAATTAATTACAATTAACATTGTGAAAAATGAAAATCATAAAAAAGGGTAGTTTCCCTCCCTCTTTCTTCAGGCGTGCACAAACTAAAAAATTGCATAGATAGATAGTGAAGTCATCAAAAGGAACGGACGAAAAGTTCTCTTTCAAGTGGTCTCTGGTGAATTGTTTTTTAACCCCTCCCTTTGCTCATATGCTACCATATATTGATTTTCTTTCGCGCCATAAAAAAAGTCCTTTTGAATTAAAATATTAATCCTTGTAGGAAATTCCTTTGGAAGTAAGTGCCTTTCAGTTGTGGGAACGAACACTTAATAAATTCTAGTGGTGGCTAGCTCAAAATTCCTAAAGAGCAGGTGTTCGCTCAGGAAAATAGACACGAACCTTGCTCTCACAAGCTTAAGGTTCTTATTTTTCCAAGGTAGATTGAATTTAAAATTAACTAGATTTTCCCTGAGAGTAATGTCAGAGTAAATTTAGATTTGGGTCCTACTTCCTATGAGCATAAACCCTAATAGTTAATTACCCCTTCTAACGCGTAGAAAAACATTCTCGATTAAAAATTTAAATTATATTTAGTATGTGCATAAAGGGCAGTGCAGATATGTGTGCAACAATGTGTGAATGTTCTAAACCCTGATTATGGGGGATGAAAGTAGAATCGATCAAGATCTCATGGTTCTCGTCATCTCGGGAATACCATAGGGTTCAGTCTACCAATATCAGCGATCATTGATCGTAGTGTTTAGATAATCTGATTAACAGTCATGGGTTGCCTACTTCCAGGGATCCCTGATAAACTGAAGTGGATATATATTCAATATTTAGTTTGATTAGGGACTTATGGCTCTATTTAGAAGTTGTCCATAATTCAAATTTAGAATCGGGTCTAATGGCCCCCATTTAGGAGTTGCTCGTGTGAGTGGATTTGGGTAGGGGCTTACGGATTTGATGCAAGCAGAAAATTAGAAAAACTCTAATTTTTTGCAAGCAAGAGATTCCTAGGATAAAAAGAAATTACATAGAATACTCAAACTACAACATAAAATGACACTTAAACCAAAAACAACTTCACTTTTATAAAATAAAAGGACTTACAAACTTTGACGCTTACAAACACAAAATAAAGACACCTAAAGGAGCTTGCATTCATCGAGAAGAAAGATACAGGTGGGGTCGGACTTGCGGATAGAAGAAGGAGATAAGAAGCCTTAGACGAAAGGGAGGACAAGCTCGCAAGCTTTCCTAGAGGAGAAGAGAAGCACGGAACAAGCTCGCAAGCTTTTCCAAAGAAAGAAGAAAAACCCTCAGGTTTTTAGTTCCAAAAATCCCCACATAATCTCACTATTTTCTTTACCCAAACACCTTATATTTATAGAAGAAAAAGGGGAGCCAAATAGCCAACTTCCACCTCCAACCAAACCAATCAGGTAAGGGGAAGAGGAAGACCAGCAGTCAACACAAAACAAATCCCAAAGACAACACAAGAATCGAGTAGGAGAAGCCACGGCCCGAAAAGCCAACACAAAAACCGGGTAAGATAAGCCACGGAAAAGCAGCCACGGGGAAAACCGAAAAGGTAACCAGCACCCAGCATCAAGTCACGGAAACAACACAAGGAAAAAACTGATGAGACACAAGAAGGCAAAGAGGCAAAGGCAGCCAAGGGAAAGTAGTCAGGGAGCAAACCGAAAAGGCACAAAGAAGGGGAAGAGGCTTCCAAGGGAAAGCAGCTAGGGAGCAAAGCGAAAAGGCACAAAGAAGGGGAAGAGGCAGCCATGGAGCAAACCGAAAAGGCACAAAGAAGGAGAAACCAAAGAGCCAAAGTAAGGGGAAATGAATCTAATTAATTGCATTAATGAGCTGATTAGATAGTAATTCATTATTAATGAGCTGACTTAAGTAGAAACTTACAAAAAAAATATATCCCAACTTTTTTTGACCCCCCTGCCTACATCAAGATTTTATTTGAAAGTAGCCCTAATAACGGTTTTACGACTTCTATTAGAAGTGGCCCAAATAGTGGGTCATACAACTTAGCCCTATAGACTCAGATGCCCAATGATTTTGGATGTTCAAATAGGTCTTATGACTTCTGAATTTAGAAATTGCTTGACGACTAATCTTATGAACTAGCCCTGTAAGCTAAGTGGCACGTATAGTGGGTCTTACAACCCAGCCCTATAGACTAAGATGCCCGGAGAGGGGTTTAGGGTTATGTTATTTCTAGATATTTTCCTCAGAAGTCAAACTTATAGCTTATATTAGAAGTTGTTGGAGTGTTTCAGATGTCCATCACTTCACATAATAGATTTGTCTAGTGAAATTGTCACTAGTATGATTCATTTTTTTAATATTATTTTTTTTTATTTTTATTTTAGGATTCCCTACTTCCATTAGAAGCGACCTATAGGGTTTAGGTTAGCAAGGACATAGCTTTACACACTTCACTGTTTTGACAACAATGTTAGCGTCTTGTTTTGCCAGCTTTGTTTCAGTACTAGCTTGCAAACATTATTTTGACACTTATTAGCCAATAGTTATTATTTTGTGCTCGTAGTAGTGCTTGTAGCTTTTCATCTTTAGTAATAGCTTTTTTTTTCCAGCATTAATTTTATTTTATGTGCTAACTTTTGTCTACTTGTTTGCAAGTTCTCGTGAAAAACGAGAGGGTTGAATTATAGAGTAATAAGGAGAGTGTTAGTAAACTATTTTTTAAGAATAAAGGTGATGCACAAAATTGTGTGAATTATAGAGGAATTAAGTTAATGTGTCATACTTTAAAACTATGGTAGAAAGTTATGGAGCATATGTTACGACATGATAATAATATTTCTCAAAATCAATTTGGATTCATGTCGGGTAGGTCTACTGTGGAAGCTATACATTTATTGAAAGGTTTGGTGGAGAAGTATAGAGAGATAAGGAGGATCTACATATGATATTTATTGATTTAGAGAAAGAATGTGATAAAATTCCAAGAAAAGTGCTATGCAGAGTTCTAAAACAGAAAGGGGTTAATCATGCTTATATTCAAGTCATTAAGGACATGTATGCAGGAGCTATTGTGTTCAAACACAAGGTAGTTTGACCAAGTATTTTCCTATTTCTGTTGGATTACATCAATGATCGGCCTTAAGCCCATATCTTTTTGCTTTAGTCATGAATGTTCTCACTAAACATTTGCAAGAGGTTATACCCTAGTGTATGTTTTTTGCTGATGATATTATTCTTATTGATAAGACTAGAGAGGGTGCTAACGGTAAACTTGAACTATGGACATCAAACTTATAGTATAAAGATTTTCATTTGAGTAGATCTAAAACTGAATATATCAAGTGTAATTTTAGTAGTAATAGATCTAGTATGAGGACTGTGACTTTAGACGATTAAGTCATTAATAAGAGTAGACGTTTTAAATATCTTGGGTCTATTATTCAAAGTGATGGTGAAATAGATGGGGATATTATTATTAGAATTCAAGTTCAATGGTTGAAGCGGAGGAATGTATCGAGGGCTCGTTGTGTGATGGAAAAGTCCCCTAAAATTTAAGGAAAAATTCTATAAGATGGTGGTGAGACCTGCAATAGTTTATGGTGCATAATGTTAGCCATTAAAAGAGAAGCATAATATTAAGTTAAGTTTTGCAGAGAGGATGCTCAAGTGGATGAGTGGCTTTACTCTTAGAGGCAAGATACGAAATGAGCATATACGTGAAAATGTTGGAGTAGCTCCAGTGGAAGATAAGATTATAGAGAGCCACATTAGATGATTTGGTCACATAAATTGGCTGCCTTCCGATGACCCGATTAGAAAAGTAGATGTATTAGATTTGTCTTATGTTAAGAAAGGTAGATGAAGACCTAAAAAGACTTGGTTAGAAAATATTAGAAATAACCTTTCTTTATTAGATTTAAATGAGAATTTGATACTTAACATAATACAATAGAGAAAAAAGATTTATGTAGCTGATACCACGTAGTGGGATAAAGGCTTGAAGATTGTTGTTGTTGTAGATATAGTAAATATGTTTAATATTATATATTAATTTTGTAAATTTAAAATTTAAAATTACCTAAGCCTTAATTATCAAGGCTCACACATCTTCAAACTTATGCTAAAATTAAGATGAGGTGTGTCTTGAGGCCCGTTGCATACCCACTAAGATGTAAGCCTCATTTGGTAGGCATCAGGTGTATGCCTCATTGCCCTTTTTTTTATTAAATTGCATCGAGGCAAGCCTCTAATAGCATGATTTTAAACCATATTTACTTATTTAGAATGTAGTACTATCCCGTGTTATTAATCTTAAGTTTTCTGAACTCATAACTTTGATTTGACTTTTCAAAGTTTGTATTTCTTTTTATAATGTGCCTTTTATGAATTAAGGATATATTTTTATGAACTTTGTGTGTCTTCTAATTTTTCATAATTTTATGATTTTTTATTTTAATTTAAAACCTATGCCTCGATTCAATTTGAACCTATGTTTTCATTCAATTGGGAAAATCGCCTCAATTCCTAACATATTTTTTAAACCTCGTATAGTGCAATCAAGAACTCATCCTGCAAACTTTTAAAACCAAGCAATTGATCACCTTCTCAACTCAAAGTGTCATTTGTGAAGTGTAACATGGCATATTTTGCATAACCTTAACTGTTTCAGTTTTTCCCAAAAGAAGGCATTTACAATTTAAGCTGAGTATAAGTTAGATCTGTAACTTCAACTTTAAAAACCTTGCTAGTCAAAACAGCACTGCTGAAAACAAGAAAATTTAACATATAATAAAAAATTGAACCACCCAAACTCGAAAGGTTTCAAAAACAACCCGGCATCAATACAACGTAAAACAAATCCAAGTTTCTAACACAACCTAACCATCACCAAATAACAGATAGCAGCTTCGGATTCATCAAAATGAGAAAAATCGAATTAGGAACCATAAAAGCATTCCAGCGCTCACCTCATCAGCCTCGGGATCGTCTGCAGACGTAGAGTCCGAGCAATTACCCTCCACGTCCTCTTCAGCAAGGTCCCCATCACCTTCAGACTTTTGGAGCAGCTCGAGCGCCCTATGGCACTGCTCTAGCACCGCCTCCAGTGTCCTCCTACGAATCCTAATCTCCTCTGCCGAGCCGACGGCAGGATGAGGAGGCCCGGATGAGACCGCCGCCGCCGCTTGTTCCGCGATTCCCATGATGACCAGATCCCAAAAAGTAAGATTGAAGAGAGAGAAAGAAGAGGCGGAGAACAAAACTAGGGTTTCAGTCGGAGACGGAAAGTAGAAGAAATCCCTGACGAGAAGATTTTTGAGATCATGGAGGGCACGTTTCCATCCAACAAGTATACCTCAATTACGTCTCCGACAGCGGAGTTTTCCAAATCATTGCCGTTTTCATAAAAACCTCGTGGTCTAATTTTAAGCCGTGTCATTTTTATTTTAAGCAAGAGTAAATCCCAATATGCACGAGTCGAATTACCTAAAAACTCCCTAATCTCTCCCCTACCGCGGCTCCTTTCGCCGTACCGGAGACTGCGGGGAACCATAAATAAATCAAGTAATTTTTATATTTAATATTATATAAATAAATATGAATATTTAAATATTGGATAATCGGGAAAATTTTTAGAAGGATCACCATTTTAAAATGTATTAGGTAAAGGATCATGAACATAAATAAATTTACAAAGGATCATACAAGTGAACATTAATAGCATTTTTGAAGAAAACGCAAAGGAGGATTGCATTTTCTATTTGTCTATAGAAAACGCAAAGATGAATTGCATTTTCCATAAAACAAGCACAAAAGCTGTGCATTTTCTTTGAAATAAGATAATAACAAAATTATTGATACGTCATCATAAAATTTCTTGATCGGACATGAATCTCGAGGCAAAAATCGAGTTGGAAACTTCAAAAATTAAATCCGAGAGCACCTGAACTCCGATTTCAGCAAGCTTACAGTCAAACTGAGCGTCTCGGAAATATGAACCAGCGACACTAAATTCAACTCAATCTGAGCCCAAATGAGCCCAAATCGAGCACCCGAAGCGCTGTTGGAAAGTTCGTACCACAATTTGAGTTGTCAAACGGTCTCCGATTTTAACGAGCTTATAGTCGAATCGAGTGGCTTGACGAGACAAATCCAACGAGCCCAAGATCGCCAAATTCTAACATCATTAAGTGTGAGACCTCGTTCCCATACTGTTCCTCTCTGATTTGGATTTTTCCTCTCAGGATCGTCCAGGACGATTTTAAATCGCATTAAGGCCTTCGAATATTGGACGAACGGTGCATGATCAAAGGATTCAATATCAGCCATCCATTCGACCACTCCTTATTTGCCCTTGATCTCATGCCTATTTACGAGCTATGCCACTCCAGAAAAATTATAAATAGAGCTCTCATTTCTCATGAGAGAGAACTCAAGCAAGAAGAAGAAGAGAAGGGGAAGGAAAATCAGCTCCTCCTCGACCACCGCCGGAGTTCTTCCCGCCGTCCGAACATGCCGGGATTCTGCCGGATATTCGGGAGAACGCCATATTTATGCCCAACTTCCACAGGATACTGAAATTCTTTCCAATTAGCGACAGAGTTCCCTCCTAACGTCGAAACTCCGCAAAAGTGACGCCAGAGTTCTCCTCGGCCTCTAGCAGACGTCAGACTTTTACCCGATGCCAAGTTTCTACCCGATGCCGGACTTCTACTGGTTATCAGACTTTCGTTGGACATCTATCCGAAGATGGATTTCATTTCATTGTTGGACTTCTACTTGACGCCGTCGTTCTGACCTTCATCGTCAGACAACAGTCTTTCCAACCTCCGTCGCCAGCTGACTACGCTCCTCCTGACTTACGTCACCTACCGACTACAGTCTTTCTGGTATTAAAAAGATCTTTATTTCAAGGGAAGTGTTTGTTGGTATAGAGAACTCTCACATATATGGTAAATTGTTAAGGTATAAGAGATTATTTGTTTGTTCTCAATTTGGATAGAAAAAAAATATTATGGCGTAGAAATTATCGCTTCCAAAGAATATTGCTTAATTGATCTATAAGCCAAGAGTACGACTCATTGCGGTCTTACTGAGAGGATTCTCATTAAAAATCATCTATCATCCATTTGTTTTACAAATCCAATGAATTTAATTACTTAGAAAAAGACCCAAACGGAATGATCCAACATTGCCTTTGTTTTATCCCATCAAATATGGGAGAAGATTTATCATCTATGATCTGGAAGAGTGTTGCGCTACGCCAGAACTTAAGTGAAAAAATCACAAAATCAAACCCAAAAAAAAACAAAACATACAAAATCATTTAAGTCGATTGAAGGGGATCAAACATGATAAAAACAACATCTACTATATAAGGCCTTACGGCCAAAGGACTCAAGCTAAAATTTTATAACTCAAAGAAAATTAACATTAGAGTAGTAGACACCAAAATCTTATCTACTTAGCTATCAAGTGCCTTGAAAGCTCTTGTAAGCTCGAGGAGTAAAGCCTTCCATTTGAATTCTATTGGAGTTTATGGACCATATTACGAGCAACGTAGAGTTTATCATTGTATAATATTTAATTTTCTCAAGTATTTAGCCTAGTTCGGATTTGCAATATCCTCGAGTTATATTAAATTTGAAGGATCGAGATTTTCCAAGGGTTTGATGAATTAGATTTTGTAATCCATGTGGTTTAGTGTACGTTCTAGTCCTGGATCAAATCAATCAAAAGAAACTAAGCTAGTGTAGGTATCAATGGTTCAAAGCTGTTTTTGTGTACGTAACTGCTGGTGTTCAACGCGTTGGATTTGCTTTGATGTTTTTTTTTTTTCCAATTCATCCATTCAAGTAGGGGTGTCAATATTTGACACGACACGAAAATTCGA